AAGAGTGAGACATGACTTGGAGACCAACACTGCACACCCTGAACACAAGGCTATGCATGGCACAGCTAGCCCAAGGTGTGGACTCCAGCTGCCACATGCCCATCACCCATTAGCAAGTCAATGTAAATATGCAACATCCCATCCAGGCCCATGAGGGAAATGCATGATGTGACAACATGAATGTAACATCCAGCATGAGAAGCACCTGGACACTGCACCTGGGGATTGGAAGCTAGGTAGGGAACCCAGTGCATGTGTCAATACAGGCAGGTTTGTGGCATGGGCTACCCCAGAATTCTGGTGCTGCTATGGAGGCCCCAGCCTGGGGGAACCAGCCAATGTTTTAAACCCATGGGCTTAAAGATACAAGGTGGGCTCTGGCCTGGCCAGCTCCTGTTGCAGATCCATGATCTGTGCTGACAGCAACCACCACAAGCAGGAGTAGGACCAGCAGGGGATGCCCCGCACAACAATCCAGCTAGAACTGAGGGAGAAGCACATCTGCCAGAGCCCAAGATTTCTAACCCAGTCCCTCTGGGAGAGGTGAATCTCAGCCATGTCCCTTGCAGGCCAGTTCTGTCGCACCGAAGTGCCATGCCCTTCACTCACCAGGCGGGAATTCCTCTTGGATTCTCGGATCTGGGTGCTGAGTTTCTCCAGTTCCAGCTGGTGCACCTCCAGATAGGCTCTGCAAACAAAAGTGCCACAGTCAGTTAGGCCTAAAAGCAGCCAGCAGGGATATAGTGAGTAGGGTGAGGGCCCCACCCAGGGCAGAGACAGGCCACCCCAAACCAGCTTTTTTGTGAAAGTACCGCAGCTCATGCCATAGCTTACACCCAGAGGGTCCCATCGTGGGTCACAACTGGTGTGTCCCACCCCAACTCAACTCCCATTGTTATTACTCCACACACACACACACACACACACACACACACACACATGGCACAACTGGCAGGCCCCACCCCTGTCCAATCTTCACATGTACACAAGCTGATCATGCTTGGCCAGTTCCAGACTCATCTCTCATATATGCTGGCCTACCACATCCTACCCCACCCTTCACATACATGCTGGTCATGTCTTGTGGGCCCTGGCCCATCCTGCTCCCTCACCCAGCACAGTCCACTATGACACACGTGCAGGTCACACCAGGCAGGCCATGCCCTGCTCAGCCCTCACACACACACATACAAAAAGAAATGCCAAGTAGAACCCAGGCCAAATCTCACCCACCCATGCATCAGACACACAATCTCCTCTCCCCAGATTCACATGTATGCTGGCCACATTGAACAGACCCTATCCCAAAATAAACCTCACATGCATGTATCATGGTCACGGCCAGTGGGCAAAAGGCAAGTGTAGCAAGGTTCAGATTCCAGGAATGACTGATGTACCTTAATGACCATGCAACCCTGCCCTGCTCCACCTCTAGGGTACTCTCCCTTTCTCTTCCACCTTGATGTATTTGTTGGGTGGCTAAAAAGGAGGCTGCCTAAGGGTCCTAGGTCCTTCTTGCAACCAACAGGTTCTTCCCAGACCCTGCTGGTCTCAGTTCTACCCCTCTCAGACGAAGTAGGCCCTTCTGACCTGTTCATACTCCCCAGGGCACCTGCAGCATTATGGGTAGGGCAGCGCTGCAAACAGGTCCTTGGTCTCACATGAGACATTGCCAACCACCATGTGGTTGGCCAGTTCTTGAGCTCCGTCACCTGGGGAATAAGAAGGGGCTGAAGACAGCTCAGCAGAGACAGGGTGTGTCTAATGGGTGCTCACAAGTGTGGAGGAACAGCACAGGCAATGCTCAATGCTCTTGGCCTCTAGTAGGCACTGTCATCATGGCACCAGTGTGAGCACTGCAGGATTCCAACCTTTCCTACAGCCATGCTCGTCTTGCAGGTGTTACTGTACAATCATCCCTTATTGGGGCCTTGGCCTCTCGGCTCCTGCCCCTTTCCTCTAGCTGGGCCTTCTAGCTCAGGCCCATTGTGCTGGACCTAGCTTCTGGGCCCCAGCTCTAGGTCTTGATTACTTTGGTCCTGAGCCTCCTGACCCTGTCTCTGCCCTGCCTTGGGCAATGAGCCTGCTTTGACTCTGCCTGAGCCCCCTAGCTCTGTCTCCTCCCTGCTTTGGGCACTTCCCCTTACCCTGCATTGTTTTTCTCTAAGCCACCAGTGTCCTTCTGGCAGTCCTCAGCGCAGCTCAGAAGTCAGCCAAGCATCCTCCTGCAGTCTTCCTGACCAGCAGTTCCTCTCCCTGTGGCCTGCAGGGTCAGACTCCCTTTCTGGCTCAGACTCTGTGCTTACATGCTGTCCAAGCCCCACCCCTCCAGGTCAGGGGGTGCCACAGCCACCTGCAGGGATTTCTCCTTAGAGCCTGACTGCTGGTTTCCATGCCAGCTTATGACTAGAAGCAGCCCAGCTGCTCCAGCTCTGCTAGGCCCTACTGATCTATTGCCTAGCAGCAAGCTCTGCAATAGGCCTCTCATCCCACACTACCTATTCCCTTGCAGCCAACTCACCCGAGGCAGAGTTCTCCTGACCAGACTGCAGGTGCACCCCTTTCACTAACGGGTAGCTCCCTGTTTAGGCAGCAGTTTTTCTTTGCTGCCTTCCCTCTTGTAGCTGGCCTGTATTTAGCTGTTTGGACTCCATCAGCTGTAGTTACTCTCTTTAAAGTAACAAGAGCCCCAGGCTCCCTGTTACAGCAAGAATGACCAACACCGGGCAATTCAGCTTCCTCTCCTGGGCCACCGTGCACCCTGGAATGAACTCTTCTTGGCACTGCCCGGTCCTAAGACACAAGGCTGTGAGAGCCCTGCTATAAGCTCTCACACACTCTCATGCTTGGGGTCCTAGAACCCAACAATCTGTCACTCCCACCATTTTGCACACATAATGAAGAGATCAAATACCACCAAAGTCACTCAGCCAAGCCAGAGCAGGATGGGGAGGGGTGGAACTTACGTCAGGCCCTTCTTCAGTGCTTCGTACACCTCGTCTAGTCGGTCAGGCTGTGGCACCTTGGGTGGTGGGGATTTGTGGGACATTGAGAACATCCTACTGACTCGGGAGCCAGACTTCCGGGAGACCGTGGGGGTGCTGAAGGCAGGGAGGTTCCTGAAGAGAAACAGCACAAAGGCACCATGGAGGTTATGCAAGTTTTCTACTGTGGCAGCAGCCTGAACAGCAGATCTTTGCTACGGGGTACCTGGGGACAGAAGACACTATTATGTACATTTAAGAAACCGCATGCAGCATTTCCAAGCAGTAATTAATGAGAGGAGAAGGGTCAGGAGCAGCCAAGGGCCCCTCACACCTGGAATGCTTGATGGGGGCCTTGCCATCTCTCCCCTAGACATCATGATACCTGGTTAACATGGTCTAACTTTACTAACAAGAAACAGTACAAATCAGTTTTAACCACATGGCAGACAACTACACAGGTTGCCGTAGAGCTGCCCATACCCCACGCCCCACCCATACCACACTACTGCAACCAGGGCCTCAGCAGGCAGTTCCAGGCTGCATAGCTTTTTTGGTCTGACTCAATTTTAATCCCAGGGAGCAGGGACTCTCTGGCATTTAATTCTCCTCTGTACCTGATCTGACCTCCATGGCTAGAAGGTATTAAACATTCATATACAAGATCATCATTAATTATTCAAAGAAGATCATTGCATCAATAGACTTTGCTTCTGCTGAGCAAAGCTTGGATAGAATCTGCTCCTAGGTGGCAAGCACAGAGTCATGGCCTAGCTCTCCATGGTGTCTCTGCTATTCCAGTAACAGGTTATTTTAGGGTATTCAACTGGCATGTGGCCTGTGAAGTGTTAAACTGCATCCCCAGACTCCTGCTCAGATGCTGCTCTCCATATCTATCTGAATAGCAGCCAGGGGCTCCAGGCTCTGGGCTGAACCTCCCTCCTCCAGGTGCCACTTTCTCCCCATGAGGCAGGACAGTGCAACGTGGGGCACAAGGAGCAACAGCCTCAAAAGCAAACTAAGGGAACATGATTTGGATGAAAATTCCAGGATGGTTGAAAAATTGCTCTTGAAGAGTAAAAATCAATGGTTGGCTGTCAGACATAGAAGGCATTTCAAGGATTGTTCAGGTCAAGGGTCTGTCCTCAAGCCAATGAGATTTGATATTTTCATTAATGCCTTCTAAGTGTCATAGATTTCATAGATACTAGGGCTGGAAGGGACCTTGGAAGACCATTGAGTCCAGCCCCCTGCCCCAGGGGCAGGAAGTCAGCTGTGGGTTACAGGATCCCAGCAAGATAAACATCCAAATGTCTCTTTAAGGCATTCAAAGTAGGTGCTTGAACCACCTCTGGCGGCAGTCTATTCCAAAACTTGGGGGCTCAGACAGTAAAGAAGTTCTTCCTGATTCGTCCAGCCTGAATCAGTGGCAGAGGAGTTTGTGACAGTTCAATCTTGTCATTCCTTGGGGCGCTCTGGTGAACAGACGTTCCCCCAGATCCTGGTGAGGACCCCTGATAAACTTATAGGTGGCCATCAGATCACCCCTGAGCCTGCGCTTTTCCAGGCTGAAGAGTCCCATGGCTCTCAGCCTCTCCTCATAAGGTCTGTTTTCCTGACCTCTGAACATGCACGTGGCTCTCCTCTGCACTCTCTCAAGCTTCTCCACATTCTTTTTGAATTGTGGAGCCCAAAACTGGATGCAGTACTCCAGCTGCGGCCTCACCAAGGCTGAGTACAACGGGAGAATGATGTCCTGGGATTTGCTTGAGAAGTATCTATGGATGCAAGCCAGCGTTTTGCTCACTTTACTAACTGCAGCATCACACTGAAGGCTCATGTTCATCTTGTGGTTAATCATGACCCCCAAGTCCCTTTCGTCCGTAGTGCTAGCCAGCATAGCACTGCTGAGCCTATAAGCATGCTGCAGGTTTTTCTTCCTAAGGTGGAGAACTTTGCATTTTTTGGTGTTAAACACCATCAGGTTCTTATCCGCCCATTTCCTGAGCCTGTCAAGGTCAGCCAGGTCCCCCCTCCTGTCCTCAGGTATGGATGCTTTACCCCAGAGTTTGGTGTCATCGGCGAACTTGGCCAGTCCGCTTCTGATACCAGTGTCCACATCATTAATGAAGATGTTGAATAGTGTTGGCCCAAGGACAAAGCCTTGAGGGACCCCACTGGTCACAGAGCACCATGACAATTGACTTCTGTCAACCACCATCCTCTGGGTTTGACCACGGAGCCAATTCCCCAGCCAGCAGATGGTGGTGAGGCCAAGGCCACAGTTAGCCAGTTTTGCCAAGAGGTGATCATGGGATACCAGATCAAAGGCTTTTTTAAAGTCAAGATATACGACATCAATCTCTTCCCCCTTGTCCAGGTGATAGGTCACGTGGTCATAAAAGGAAATAAGATTGGTCAAGCAAGACCTACCCGCAACAAACCCATGCTGGCTATCCCTCAGGATGTTGCCATTGGCCAGTTTGTTAAGAATGGCCTCCTTAATAATCTTTTCTAAGACCTTCCCTGGGATAGGGGTCAGGCTGATGGGCCAGTAGTTTGCTGGATCCACTTTCCTCCCTTTCTTGAAGATAGACTGGAAGAAGTTCAGTATGGTGCCTTCGGGCACTTCGCCTGAGCGCCGGGAGTTCTCAAAGATCCGTGCCAGGGGCTGAGCTATGATGCTAGCCAGCTCCTTGAGTACCCTCGGGTGTAAAAACTGTCAGGGCCTGCTGACTTGAAGGTATCCAGCCTCTCAAGGTGTTCCTTCATGAGGTCAGCATTGATGGAGGGTAAGGGATCTCCCTCACCCAGGCCTTCCTGTCCTGTAATGGGCAGGGACATCCCATGGGACTGGTGAAAAACTGATGCAAAGTACCCATTTAGCAAGTTGGCCTTTTTCTGGGCGTCGGTTGTCAGTTACCCCATCTGGTTTAGCAGGGGTCTAATGTTGCCCTTGCTTTTCCTCCAGCTCCTCACATATCTAAAAAAGGACTTTTATTGTCCTTGATACTTGTAGCCAGTTGGAGTTCAGTTGCAGCCTTGGCTTTCCTGCTTCACTCCCTGCAGGTCTGGACCAGAGCAGAGTATTCCTCCTTGGAGGTGGATCCAGTCCTCCATCCTTTGTAGGTCTTTCTTTTTAGACACTGAAGGTTTGCTAGTTCCCTGCAGAACCAAGGGGGCTGCTGGGATCAAGAGAACAAAAACACAACCTGCAGATGACACCAAATTGTAAGATGCTGTGTGGAAGGACAGGGTCAGAATCCAAGATAATCTTGTCGTAAGTGGGGTGATGAATTTCACAAAATCAAATTCAGCAGAGATAAGTGCTACACACAGGAAGAATAAATCCAGCCCACATGCACAAAATCAGGAATAACTGACTGGGCTACAGGACAGCAGAAAATGACTGGATTTTGTAGCAGACCACAAACTGAATGAGGGTCAACAATGTGATGCTGTTGCGTAAAGACAACTCTCACTCCAGGATGTATTAACAGGACTTTAAATCCCACCGTACAGGAAAATTAATAAATAGGGGTGCACCGATAGAGATTTGGGGGCCGATACTGATAGCCAATTTTTAAGGAGGCATATTGGCCAATACTGATCCGATTTCGTAGACATTAGGGCTGGAAGGGACCTTGGAAGATCATCGAGTCCAGTCCCCCACCCGAAGGGCAGGAAGTCAGCTGTGGTCACAGGATCCCAGCAAGATAAGCATCCAATTTTTTGTGTGTGCAGCTGGTAAGTCTGTTGTGGTAGAAGGGGACGGAAGGGGCGTGGGGTAGAAGGGGACGGAAGGGGCGTGGGGGGGGAGGGGTAGGGGGGAAATCAATGCCCCCCACACTGAGGGAGGGAGTGGGGCTGGGGTAGATGCTGCCCAGCCAGGGTGGAGCGGGGAAAGACCCATGGCTCATCTGGGGGATGCGGGGACAGGGGACGGTTCCCACCACTGCATGCAACCCAGGAGGGCATGGGGGTGGGCGTGTGCACCCAGATGTGTGGGGCAGGGCGGGTGGGCTGCAGCTGTAGGCTGGGGCCAGGGACCATGCTGGAATCTTTCCAAGGGGTGCTGGGCTGGGCAGTGGTGGTGCTGTGAGGGGGTTACGGTTAAATTTGGGGATGCTGCAGCCCCCCTCCCTGTAGCCCCCTCCCAGCACTGCTGCCTGCCCAGCCACTGACCCCGCCAGAAAGAACCCAGTGCAGCCCCTGGCCCCACCCTGCACAGACCTAGGGCACAACCCTCCCCCCTCCCAGGGGGCAACAAATGACAGGACGC